CCCTAGAGTGCTGGGATTAAAGGTGTGTGCCATCATGCCCAGCAGGTTTTGATTTTTTTCAAGACAGAGTTCCTCTGTGTAACAGCTCTGGCTGTCCTGGAACTCACTCTGTCGACCAGGCTGGCCTCAAATTCACAGAGATCCACCTGCCTCTGCCTCCCGAGTGCTGGGATTAAAAGTGTGTGCCACCACTGTGAGGCTAACTTTTTGACCCTTATATAAACAACATGTTAATTATAAATGTTTCAGGTCTTCTCCAAAGCAGTGTGTGCTCTAAACCTTGCAGCTGTCTCTTCAGCCATTGTGAATTTTTTGATGGAACTTTTGCATTTATTTACTTTTACACAGGATCGGTCTTTTACTTTTACTACATAGCCCAAGCTGGCCTAGAACTCATGATCTCTTGACTCAGCCTCCTAAGTGCTGGGATAAACATTTTCATAATAGTATATTGTGAACAACTGAAACCATGGTTAATTCCTGCATCTCATTTATTGTATTACAGCTGTTTGTCACTGCTGTTCTTATGCTTAAGGTTCACGATTCTCACTTTTTAAAAGTTTGGTATTTTATGTGTATGGGTGTTTTGCTTGCATGTATATCTGCGCACTAAGTTCCTGTAGCACACAATGAGGCCAGAAGCCCTCTGTATGTAGGAGACAGTTGTGAATCTTGGGCTATCTGAGGGACCCGTGGCAGTAGGACCAGTATCTATCCCTGGTGCATGAGCTAGCTTGTTAGAGCCCATTTCCTATGAGGGGATGCCACATGCTCATACCTAACACAGAGGGGAGGGACTTGGTTCTGCCAACTTAAAGTGTCAAACAGAGAAACCCTGTCTCAAAAAGCCAAAAAAAAAAAAAAAAAAAAAAAGGGTAGGCCTTGCCCCCACATTCTGTCTCTTTCTTTGTCTGTCTGCTTTTCTCTCTCTGCTCCCCCTTGTCCCCAGGGAGCCCTTACCTGTTGGGAGGTGTGGATGGGGAGTGAGCTGTGGGGGGCAGGAGGAGGGGCGGGAGGGAAAACTTTGGTTGGAATGTAAAATGAAATTTAAAGGAAAAAAACCAACAACAAAAAAACAAAGAGGCCAGAAGGTGGCAGGTCCTGAGGAGCTAGAGTTACAGGTTGCTATGAGCTACCATGTGGGTGCTGGGAATTGAATCCAGTTTTCATGGAGGCACAGCCAGTGCTCTTAATCACTGAGCCACCTCTTTTTTAAATGAGGAAGACATTTTTATATTCATTTATTTGTGGGTGTGAGGTTGGGGTCAGCACAGCATGTGTCTTGACCTCAGGCTTGGTGGCAGGTACCTTTTCCCAGTGAGTCATCTTTGGTTTTGTTTTTAATATAACTCTCACTGTTGAGAATATGAATTCAAGGATGACCTTGAACTCCTGATTCTCCTGTCCCCATTCTCAAGTACTGGAATTACAGACACGCCCTATCATGTCTGCCTTATTTATTTATTTGAGGCAAGATCTCTGCATTAGTACTTTTTTTGTTGTGATTAAAAAAAAAAAAAAAAAAGAACCAGGGCCCTGAAAGAGCTCACTTGGGCTCCCAGTACTAGAGAGAGAAATCTGTCATATTATGGAGAGATGGCAGCAAGAAGCAGGCATAGTGACAGGACTTGGGTGTTGAAAGCTCGCAAAACGGAAAGAGTAAACTAGAAATGACACCAGGAGTCTTTAAACACTCCGGGTGTCAAACTTCTAGCAGCAAGGTCACACCTCCTAAACTGCCCCCAAACAGCACCACTAGTAGAGTTCCAAGTGTTGTAATTTAAAAAAGAAACGGTGGAGCTGGGCGTTGGTGGCGCACGCCTTTAATCCCAGCACTCGGGAGGCAGAGGCAGGCGGATCTCTGTGAGTTCGAGGCCAGCCTGGTCTACAAAGTGAGTTCCAGGACAGTCTCCAAAGCTACAGAGAAACCCTGTCTCGAAAAACCAAAAGAAAAAAGAAAAAAAGAAAAAAAAAGAAACGGTGGGAAGGAGTCATACCATACACCAGGGCTCACATGGGATGTTTATTGGAAGAGAAGGAGCAGAGACTGGACCCTGAGGATTGGGGGGGGGGGGGAAAGCAGACAGACAAAGAAAGAGACAGAATGTGGGGGCAACGCCCCCCTTTTTTTGTTTTGTTTTTCTTTTCTTTTTTCTTTTCTTTTTTTTTTTTTTTTGGTTTTTCGAGACAGGGTTTCTCTGTGGCCTTGGAGGTTGTTTTTTTTTTCAAGACAGGGTTTCTCTGTATTGTTCTGGAGGCTGTCCTGGAACTCACTCTGTAGACCAGGCTGGCCTTGAACTCAGAGATCAGCCTGCCTCTGTTTCCCGAGTGCTGGGACTAAAGGTGTGGGCCTGGCAAGGCCCACCTTTTAAAAGGGAATGTAGTGAATGTAGACATGAGGTGCTCTTAGTGGCTGCAGCTGAGGACGTGTCCTCTTAGAACCCCAAGGACAGGCCAGTACAGATGCCTGAATACTAACACCAAGTATTCAAATGTCCAAGACGATGGAGGCGTTTCTCATTCAAACACCACTGTCCAGCTCCTGCCCCCATAGGATCCTGGCCATCTCAGATTACAAAATGTACTTCATCCGTTTTCAAAAGTCTCCATAGCCTTTCACAGTCTCCACACTATGTAAAAGACCAAGTCTTGCCAGGTGGTGGCGGCACATGCCTTTAATCCCAGTACTTGGGAAGCAGAGGCGGGTGGATTGGATCTCTGTGTTCAAGGCCAGCCAAGTCTACAGACTGAGTTCCTGGAGAGCCAGGACTACACAGAGAAATTCTGTCTTAAAAAAACAAAACGAAACAAACAAAAAAAACCAAAAAAACAAAAACAAAGTCTCTTTGAGCCTCAAGGTAATCTCTTAATTGAAACCCCTTGTAAAATGAAAAAATAAATCATATGCTTCCAAGGTACAATGGCACAGGACATACATTACCATTTCATGGATGGCACAGGACATACACTACCCATTTCATGGAGGAAAGGAAGCACAATGAAATACTGGACCAAGCCGGGCGTTGGTGGCGCAGGCCTTTAATCCCAGCACTCGGGAGGCAGAGGCAGGCGGATCTCTGTGAGTTCGAGGCCAACTGGTCTCCAAAGTGAGTTCCAGGACAGCCTCCAAAGCTACAGAGAAACCCTGTCTCAAAAAACCAAAAAAAAAAAAAAAAAAAAAAAAAGAAATACTGGACCAAAGCAAGATTAAAAGCCAGCAAGGCAAACTCCAAATATAGAGCTCCATGTTTGATGTATGGGGCTTTTATTTTTCTTCAAAAATGTTTAATTTAATTTATTTTACTTCTACTTTATGGGTAAGAGTATTTTGCCCGAATATTTGTATGTGTACCATGTACGTGCCTGGTGCCAACAGATCAAAACAGGGTTTCAGATTTCCTGGAACAGGAGTTAATGATTGTGAGCCACTATGTGGGTATTGGGAATTGAACCAGGGTCCTCTGCAAGAGCAGCAAATGCTATAAACTGCTGGGCCATCTCTCCAGCCCTAACGTCCTAACGTCTGCTACCTCACTTCCAAAGTCTTACATGACTCTGCCCTTCTAGCTTTGCTTCTCTCTGTCTCTCTCTGTGTCTGTCTGTCTGTCTCTCTCTCCTGGTTCTACTTCCTGTGTGCATCTCTTCTGGACAGATGTCCCATCTGCAACATCTTGGGGTCTTCCTTGCAACCCAGGCTTCACTCTGACAGCTTCATTCAGTGGCCTTTCAGGACTCTAGCCTTCTGGGGGGGCTTCATGCAAAGTCTTCTCTGTCACATGCTGCCTGGGCTCAATGGTTCTCTAACCACAGAGCAAGATCTACAACACCTTCCCTCTCACACCCTTCACCTTCTAAACCCAGCACCCTGAGGACTAACAAGGTCTGCGGACAGTTTAGGATGGACCCCGTTGAACTACATTAGCAGTAGATTTTGTTTGCAGTTACTTTCTAGGAACAAAAAACCCATTAGGTCTTTTCCTTTCACAAACTGGAAGTTTAGCAGGGCGAGGGAGGTCTTACCCTGAGGGCACTCTGCCATGATGGGAGTTTAGAGCAGTAGGCCTCTCCTTAACCATGTTTACCTCATCTCTTCCAGCACCAGCCTTGGCTGAGACATTATATTTGGTGGTTCTATTTTTCTTTTTAAATTGTATATTTTGCATTTTTTTCTGCCAAGGTTGTTCTTTTTCATTGTAGACCTATGTAACAAGTCAGTAATAAGAACAATGTGCCAGAAGAATTTCCTTGAGTTTAAGAACAGCCTCTGCCACACAGTAAGTTCCAGGCCAGCCAGAGTTACATAATGAGACCCTGTCTCAACAAAACACAACATGCTACTGATTGAATATTAAGTCATCTTGAAATTGTCTCTGCCCAAAGAATTAGTTCATTACTTTTTTTTTCTTTTTTGAGACAGGGTTTCTCAGTGGCTTTGGAGGCTATCCTGGAACTATCTCTTGTAGACCAGGCTGGTCTCGAACTCACAGAGATCCGCCTGCCTCTGCCTCCCAAGCATTTTCTTAATTTTTTAAATTAGCAATTTCATAGACATCAATGCTTTACTCATCCTTGCAGTGACCCTGCATTAGGGTTCTGCAGTGAAACAGAACTAATGGATGGATGGATGGATGGATGGATTGATGGATCGATGGATAGATGGATGGATGGATGGATATGGATAGATGGATGGATGGATAGATGGATGGATGGATGGATGGACAGATGGATACATGGATGGACAGATGGATGAATAGATGGATGATAAATGGATGGATGGATGGATGGATGGATGATAGATGGATGGATGGATGTGGATGGATGGATATATTTGTAAGGAATTGGTTCACATGAGTATGGAAACCAACAATGCCCATTATACCCTCCATGCTCTGATGGGGAATCAAGCCCAGGACCTTGTAAATATTCTACATTAAGCTCTGTGCCCAAACCTGTGACAAGTCCTAAGCTTTTCATTTATCAAGTTGGAGACTCAAGAAAGTTGATGACGGCCGGCAGTGAGGCTAGGCCGGAGGCTGGAAGCTACGCAGAGATGGGGGCAGCGGCCGCGGAGGCCGACCGCACTCTGTTCGTGGGCAACCTGGAGACGAAGGTGACGGAGGAGCGCCTCTTCGAGCTTTTCCACCAGGCTGGGCCAGTAATAAAGGTGAAAATCCCCAAAGATAAAGATGGCAAACTGAAACAGTTTGCATTTGTGAATTTCAAGCACGAAGTGTTTGTTCCATATGCCATGAATCTTCTCAATGGAATCAAACTTTTCGGGAGACCTATCAAAATTCAGTTTAGATCAGGAAGTAGTCACGCCTCTCAGGATGCCAGTGTGTCATATCCCCAGCATCATGTGGGGAATTTAAGCCCTACCTCCCCATCTCCTAACAGCTATGAAAGGGCGGTGGGTAACATGACTCCATCAGCACAGATGGTCCAGCGGTTCTTCTCTTCTCCAGAAGATTATCAGCGGCAAGCAGTGATGAACAATGTTTTCAGACAGACGTCATATGGTGGGAAATTTGGTTCTCCGCATGCAGATCAGTCGGGATTTTCTCCATCAGTTCAATCACACGGTCATACCTTTAACCAGTCTTCCAGCTCCCAGTGGCGCCAAGATGCATTGTCATTACAGCGTAAAAGACAGAATTCTCATCCCTACCTAGCAGATAGACACTATAGCCGTGAGCAGCGGTACTCTGATCATGAGTCTGACTATCATTACAGAGGAGGCCAGAGGATTCTAATATGATGACAGGAACCATGATGGCTGGAGCCATGACTATGATAACAGAAGGGACAGTAGTAGAGGTGGGAAATGGCCTTTGTTTCGACATTAACAAGCATTCCAAGGACATTGTTTACAGGGCCATTTTAGGCCCTTTTAATGAAGTTGTTCTGGAAATATTTCTAAAAACTATACAGAGTAGCCCCACAGTTTTCCACCTATCTTTTCTTTCTTTTCTTTTTTTTTTTTTTGGTTTTTTGAGACAGGGTTTCTCTGTAGCTTTGGAGGCTGTCCTGGAACTCACTTTGTAGACCAGACTGGCCTTGAACTCACAGAGATCTGCCTGCCTCTGCCTCCCGAGTGCTGGGATTAAAGGCGTGCGCCACCAACGCCCGGCTTCAGTAATCCATTTTATTAACAGTTTCTTTAAACAGTTAATTTGTTTGGGAATGAATCATATTTTCTAACTCAGAATTTAAGTACAAATTCTGTGGTATGCTCTTGAATTTTATCACAAACATACATTATAAATCTATACTAGTCATTCTAAGAACTTTAAAATTCTTTTATTAAATTATATTTGATGTATGACTAGTCATTCAGGAAGTTAAATATCTACATGTGTATTTGTACATAAAAAGACAGTGTTGATGAAAATTCTTTTTAGAGGAACAACGATGTTAACACATAGATAAAATGGCAAAATGTTTCACTGGAAGGATTATAATTTTGAGATTTTGTTTAACAAAGCTTCCATGTTTCAAGATCCTGTTGTTTGTTCACTGCAAATCATTTTTAAGAATTTATTATGAAGCCGGGGGGTTGGTGGCGCAAGCCTTTAATCCCAGCACTCGGGAGGCAGAGGCAGGCAGATCTCTGTCAGTTCGAGGCCAGCCTGGTCTACAAAGTGAGTTCCAGGACAGCCTCCAAAACAATACAGAGAAACCCTGTCTCGAAAAACCAAAAAAAAAAAAAAAAAAAGAATTTATTATGAAAAATGAATCCTCTTTATACTACAGCATTTATACTGTTTTTTTACTATATTAAATACATAAAAAGAAAAAAAAAGTTGATGACATCATTCCAGTGTGGTGAGTAGGTTCAGGGAAGAGGTAATGTTTCAACTGGAGATCAAAGGCAGAAAACAAAATCCAATGTCCCAGCTTGAGGACAGAGGAGGCCTTTATGTACTGTTTAGACCTCCCACTGATGACTGAGGCACATTTCCCTTACACAGAGCAGTCTGCTTTCCTCCAGCTGTCAATCAAAATGCTAAACTCATCTAGAAAACATCCCCATAGAAATGCCCAAAATAGACCTGGCGTTGGTGGCACACGCCTTTGATCCCAGCACTAGGGAGGCAGGTGGAGCTTGGTGAGTTTGAGGACAGCCTGGTCTACAGAGCAAGTTCCAGGACAGGCTCCAAAGCTAGACAGAGAACCCCTGTCTCAAAAAGCCAAAAAAGAAAATTAAAAAAGAAATGACCAGGATACTGTTTAATATTATTTGTCTACTGTCTGAACACTCTATAGCCTATTCAAGTTATACATAAAATTCACCATCATTGAGAATTTAGTTGAGTGATAGTGAATGACTAACATGCATAAGGCCCTGTTTTGTTTTGTTTTTAATCCTCCAAACCACAATAAAAATATATACATACTAAAAGTAATTATCAAACTTGGTGTGGTGGTGCATGGCTTTTTTTTTTTTTTTTTTTTTTTTTTTTTCCGAGACAAGGTTTCTCTGTGGCTTTGGAGGCTGTCCTGGAACTGGCCTGGAACTCACAGAGATCCGCCTGCCTCTGCCTCCCGAGTGCTGGGATTAAAGGCGTGCGCCACCAACGCCCGGCGGTGCATGGCTTTAATTGTAGCACTTGGGTCTCTATGAGGTAAGGATAACCAAGGCTATATAGTGTGACTTTGTCTCAAAAAATTTTTTTAATCATCATAGACCCTATAGGATAAACAACAGTCACCATAATGAGGTTTCCAATAACAATGAACAACACACATGACAGCATATACCATAGCCTTAGTATGTTGTAGGCTCTGTCATCTAGGTTTGTGTAAGTATGCTCTATAATGTTTGCATGATGATAAAAATCACCTAGCAATGTATTTCTCAAAATGTGTCTCCAGTGCTAATCAATGCATGATTATGCATTATCTTATGACTTCATCCCCCATGTTAATTCAGGTTGTATGAACAAGTGCCATAGGTTGGGGGCTTTAGTGACATAAAGCATTTCTTCAGATCTGGAATGTTGAAAGTCTAGGATCAGGAGGCACAGGGTCAGGCTTTTGGTGTACAGACAGCCCTCTTCCTGGATTACAGATGACCACTCCCTGATGCACCCTCACCTGCAGTCTTCTCTGGTGTCTTTTCTTTTTTTTTTTTAAGATTCTATTTATTATGTATACAGCACTTCATGTATGCCTGCAGGCCAGAGGAGGGCACCAGATCTCATTGCAGATGGTTGTGAGCCACCATGTGGTTGCTGGGAATTGAACTCAGGACCTCTGGAAGAGCAGCCCATGCTCTTAACCTCTGAGCCATCTCTCCAGCCCTGGTGTCTTTTCTTATAAGGGTACTAATCGTACTCATGAGAACTCCATCTACAAGGCCTGATTATTACCCAAAGGTCTCACCTCATACTACTATCGAGGTTTCAACATACAGACACATTCAGTCCACCACATACCAAATTTACAGATGAGGGAGAAGAAACTGAAGGCTAAATTTGTGAATATATCCTGGGTCTTTCCCTAGGTGTCAACAAGTAAAAGTCTTTATTGGGAGGACTAAGACCTGGGACTGTGCTAGATTTGTGGGACCTGGCAATGAAGACTTTTTGAATGAGTAAACAAACCCAAATAGGACTTGAACTAAGGCAGCCACGTGCTCAGGCTCTCCAGGAGAGTGCAGGGTCTAAGCCTGGTGCACAAGGTGCTCCCTGAAAAGATACATGAATGATATATTTATCAAGTCCTCAAGGTCAAGAGCGTGAGCCTTGGATTCCAATTTCTAGTGGCTCACGAAAGTCCTTGATAATAATGAGTGACAGATCCAGAATTAAGATGTCCCCATCATGGCACAGTGGTTGTGCTTACACGATAGATAACAATTCTGAGGCCCCTTTCTCTTCCTTAGATGTGTGTGACCTCAATCTATTCATTAATTGCCTGTGTCTATTCCTGGCCTGAAAGTGGGTAAAAACAATGCCTATCTCATAGGGCTTTTAAGATGGGAAGACACTCGTTATATGCATATCTTTGCCCAGGATAAATAAGTAGTGGCTGTTAATGCTACTTCGGCTTTGATATGAGGACATACAGGCTCACAGCAGAACATCAGGACTCCTCCGAAAACCATCTATTGGGGTGAGATTCTTGGCACTTCTTTTCAAAACACCCTACCTCTGGCTGGGGTGTCTCTGGCAGTCCAGTTTAACAAACTGATGTCCTATTGAAAACTTTAGCATGCAGCCAATTCTCCCTTAATTGACAGACACTCCTCTTTGAAGGCTATCTGCTATTTCACCAGCAGCTTGGGATGGCAGACTCTTCAGGCCTCTTGCCAGCTAATTCATCTGAGGCAGGGTATAGTAATCCAACTGGCTTTGGTATCCTTACCCCTGAAAGGAGAGTGCTATCAACCGTGGTGCCCGATACATAATATTCAGGCTTTATTGTGGGCTGGAATTCAGGCTAGCTGAGGCTAGCCTTAAACGTCTGATTCTCGTGCTTCCTGCCTCCCCCCAACAGGTGTAAGCCACACTGCCTAGTGGGTTCAGTTTTCTAAATCTTGATTTTAGATATGGGGTAATAGATACTGAAAGATGACTTGGGGTCAGACAGTCAACAAATGGAAGAGCAAGAAATCTTAGTCTTCCCGGACTGAACTAGAAAAAGCCATCCTGAGTGAGGTAGGCAACCCAGAACCAGAAAGGCAAATATAATATGTACTCATAAGTGGATATTAGACATAAAGCAAAGGATAACCAGCCTGCAACCCCAGAGAGCCTAGGTAACAAAGAGCCTGCCTAGGAAGGGGAAAAGACAAGATCTCCTGAGTAAACTGGGAGCATATGGGGCAGACAGGTGATTCTCATCACATTACCCAGAACCCCCCACTTCCCCCACATGCACTTAAATTACCAGGCTCAGATTGTCACTGCTTTGAGCCCATAATCTTGAGTCTTATCCCAAGTGACCCAAGGCTTGTTTTCAACAACATCAGTGACATCTGAGAGTCACCGGGCTATCCCTGTGCTTCTGAGAGTGTCCCTCCTCTTCATCCCAGAGCCTGGGTTTTTGTTTGTTTGTTTTGTTTTGTTCTTTGCTGGCTAATCTCAAGGTAGTGAGGAGGGAAGAAGGCAACCACACAGGGAAGAGTTGGAGCAGGCAGGCCATGGTGAGCCACCTTTAACCTTAGCACTCGGGAGGCAAAGGCAGGTGGATCTCTGTGAGTTCAAGGCCAGCCTGGTCTAGATAGCAAGTTGCAAGACAGCCTCCAAAGCTACACAGAGAAAACCCTATCTCAAAAAGAAAAGAAATGAAAGCATATGAGCATTTGTTCCCTTTCCAACTTGCCCCGAAAAGACAGTTATTAGAAATTATCAGATGTCATGAATGGCAGAGTCTGGAGTCAGAGCTACCCCCTTGGATAGCTTAACCTCTGAGCTTTAGTTACCCATCTATCAGATGAGCATGCTAAAACCCAGTTCCAGGATTCTTTTATGAACTGAATAAGCAAACACAGCCCTAGATACTTGTCCCTCTTGGACAGCTGCCATAGAGTATTTCAATGTTTAAAATTTGTCTCCCTGCTATAGCCATAGCTCCCAAGGGTATGTCTGGCACAAGTGTTTGTCGAAGAGATGGCATTTGTAAAGATGAAGTCTGCCAGGCTCACAGCTGATCTGCAATAAATTAAATACACATGCCTGTGCCTAAAATGAAGAAGAGGAAGGAGCGGGGCCACTTAGTGCGGGTGGGCCCTTCAGGGATCAACTTATTGTGTAGGATAAACACGATTTGAAACCAGAAGATCAGGATTCAAAGTCAGCCTATCTATTACCAGTTCTGAGGCAGGACCACAGACACTTACCGAAGATCTGTTTGGTTAGCCACCCCTTTACCTCAGTCCTCTCAGCCGTCTTAAGTCCCTTCTAGAAAGATCCCAAACAAAAAGACTTTCTATGATGGAATTCTATGTAGGCTC